GCGCTGCCGCCCGCGTCTCGCGCCGGGCTCGGGGAGGGGCTGGGCGGGCGAGGAGGTGGTGTCCACGGCACCTGGAGGGGCGCGGTATCGGCCCAAGGGCGGGGGCGATTGCGTGCCGGCCGGCCGCCTTGGTTAGACGCCTACTGTGTGCGGCGGGCGCGCCGGGAGGGCAGGCGAGCGCTAGGAGGCGCGCAGGGGCGCCGGGGGAGCCCGCTGCCCTCCTCGGTCCGCGTGGCGGCGGGGAAGGAACGCCGTCCCGCGCCAGCGTTCCGGCAAACGCCGAGGAAGGCTGTTCGCTCCTCGCCCTTCCATCCGGGCTCACCTGGTGGATGAGCTCAGCTTACCTGCTTGCTCGGGCTCTTCTGCCAACTGCAGCGCAAGGGCAGAGAGATGACCCTAATGCCATAGGATTGTTAATGAAGTCAGCCTTGGAGATCACCGTGTGAAAAGCTGTCCATAAAGTACTTTACTTCGTTATCTCAGAAGGAAGAGATAAAAAATAAAAATGTGTGACTTACTCTTTGACCCTGTAATTGCACTGCCAGGAATTTGTTCTGTCAATAATAATGCAGAAGATGTTCTTTGCAGAGTTGGAGTAATAGCAAAAAGGGGAACAGTCTAATGGTGAATTATAGGGAGTTATTTTACACCAGCTGCGTGGATGTTTTGTTCTGTTTTTTGAGACAGGGTCTCCCTTATGCAGTTCAGGCTGGCCTTGAACTCACTATGTAGCCCAGGCTGGCCTCAGACTCTCGGAGATCCTTCCATTTCAGCTTCCTAAATGCTGGGATTACAAGTGTGTGCCACACACACACACACACACACTCACTTTTAACCGCAATGATGACTATCATATATGGAAGCTGATAGATAACGCAGAATTTAAAAGTAGAATAAGCCGGGCGTGGTGGCGCACACCTGTAATCCCAGCACTCAGGAAGCTGAGGCAGGAGGATCATTGCGAGTTCGAGGCCAGCCTGGGCTACAAAGTGAGCTCAAGGCCAGCCTGAACTGCATACCGAGACTCTTGTCTCAAGAAGACAAAAAATAAAATAAAATAAAAGTAAAATAAGAGATATATATGCACGCAAACCATCTCTGGCCCAGTGAAAACTAAAGATAACAGAGAGGAGTGAGTGAGTATGTGTGTGTGTGTGTGTGTGTGTACGTAATTTGTTAATTTTACTTATGTCCATTGTGACATTAATGCAATTTAAAATGTTTAATAAAGTCTAGAAGGTTTTCATCCTAATCACTGAGTCATTGCTTTTAATTCATCAGTAAAGTCTCTTCCCTGTCCAGATGAAGTTACCTCCAAGAACATTTCAGCAGTCCAGATGCAGCCCTACAACTAAAGTGATTCCCAAAGTGTATAAATCCTAGAAGTCAGACTAAAAATACAAGGAAGAATGCTAGACATTCACTCAACGTCCACTAGGTGCAAAGCAGTGAACAGGGTGCTTTAGAAACGCTCCCATTACAGGAGAGCTGAAGATACACAAAACAATTTGAACAACAGCTTCCACGAGGCCGGATGATGACAATACGCTTAGCAAACTGATGCACGCAAACCCACTTGCCTTATTCTCACAGCGCACACTTTGTTCCCAGCCACCCACCGGCATAATTGTAGCTTCGATTCGGTAACGCGAGTCAGGGTTTAAGGTGGTGATGGTAACCTTGGGGAAGCACACTGCCGGTTGTGCAGCTGGAAACAGTGCACTGAAATGTGTAAGTGACGGCGCAGGGAAACGGATACGGACGCAGGGTGCAGAGCACTGTGCTGAGGCTTGCCTCTGTGTAAGTGGAAATGCTATTGTCTAAAACAAAGATTCTGACAAGAGGGGCTGAGAATTTAACTCAGTTGCAAAGCTCCTGCCTGGCAAGCGCAAGGTCGTGAGTTCGGTTCCCGGTACCGGAGAAAAACCAAAAAAAAAAAAAAAAAAGATTCTGATAAGAATAATGCTGTACTTTAAAACCGTTCACTGATGGTGATAATGTTTTTAAATCTGGGTACATGGATGTCTGTTTTACTATTGTCTCTCTTACCATGCTAAGCATTATTTGATGTGTACTTTCATTTAATATTGTAATTTTACTTTTATTAAATATTTATTCAGTCTGAATAAAAGTAAAATTACAAAACTAAAAGTTTGTGGGGGGTTTTGGCTTTTTTTTTCTTTTTTTTCTTTTTTTTTTTCTTTTTTTTGTCTTTGTTTTTGTGTTTTTGAGACAGGGTTTTGCTATGCAGTTCAGGCTGGACGTGAGCTCACTTTGTAGCCCAGGGTGGTCTCGAACTCACAACGACCCACCTGGCTCAGCCTCCCAAGTGCTGGGATTACAGGCATGCGCCATCACGCCCAGTCGGTGTTTGGCTTTTTGAGATGGCATCTCACTATATAGTGCAGGCTGGCCTTCAACTCACAGCGATCTTCCTGCTTCAGCCTCCCAAATGCTGAGATTATAGGCTTGTGCTACTACACCTGGCTCAAAAATTTTATATAACATTAATTATATGCATTCAAACTTCTAGAAAAGGAAATAGCATTGAAGATGAAAATATGACCGTTCTCTACACAGCAAAATATTGCTATGAGATTTGTTGATTTATCCAACTTTTTTTTTTTTACCTTATTCCATGTATGAGTTACTATACTATACTTTGAAGACACTGAGATGGAATATAATAATAATTAGAAGTCAACATAATAAGAATAATTATAGTGGGAGAGAGGGAAAGACAGAAGGAAGGGAGAGAAAAGGACTTATTAACTTAGACTGAATTTAATTATCGGTGTTTTTTAATCAATGGCTCCCAAGATCATCTTGCATTGACAGTATAGGTTCTAACCCCTTCCCAGGCCTACTGAATCAGAATTTCCCACAGTCAGCCTGAGTAGTGTTTATAAAAGCCCCAGAGGGGACTCTGGCCCACACCAACTTGGGAACTACCATCCCAGTGGCTCTGGAACTTCAGCATGTATCAAAATCACCTGGAGAACTTGTTCAGCGCAGCTCCCTGGGTTCCCTGCCTAAGGGTCTGATTGGGTCAGTGTAGGGTGGACCGCGGGTGTGTGTCTCTAAGCAAGTTACCAGGGTACCACGTTTTGAGCCAGCTCTCCTCTTCAAAATTATGCTGAGAAGCCAGATTTTCATTCAAGTTCAGCATTAGATTTAGAACATTTCTTTATCATGGCCTTCCTTTGAGACATATTTTTGAGAAAAAAAAGAGAGGAATGATAATTCTTAGGGAGTCTATCCTATGCTTTCTTCCTAAAATAGAAATCCACTCAGAATGTAAAGTCTGCCTGTGTGTATCTTGGTTACACATGTTTTTGAGAATTGCAGAAAATCTTTTTTTTTTTTTCCAGAAAATCTTTTTATTCCCTTATGACTCCTAATTCATTCTCAATAGAATGATAATGCCTTTTATCAAATCCTTTTCTTAAACTTCTATCTCACCACTTATTTCATACCAATAAAGTCAGTCTTTCTCCATAAATGTCATGGAATAGAACCTTCCAACTCATTCATTAGCATTTTTAGCAAAAGCTTTATTTTTTTCATTAATATACTTGACTAATTACTTGGAGTGGTATTCTTTATAATGGTATTCTACACCGTAAGTGCAAATCTACACATGGTTTTGAGAATGTTTAAAACCCTTTGTTTAAAACATATTCTTGTGTTCCAGGCTAACATTAAATTTGATATGGCTTTGCAAGAAAGTGCCTACCCTCTGTAGTTAATATTTCTTCTGCTCCAGCCATTAATATTTTTTTAACATAGAAGAGTTGTCTCCAGTAATAAAAAAATCTGTCTGAGGTAAGGGTATGTTAATAATGGTACTCCTGCAAAGCTATTTTTATAGTGTAAATTTCTAATGTAATACAGTATGTATGCCATGGAAAAATCAGGCACTCAGCAGTTTATACCACTGCTCAAAACTCTTCTGTTTTTTCATCTTTTAAAATGGCACAATTTAAATAACACTAGATCTGGCTTCCTCTGAATAAGCTCATAACTGATAGAGCAGGGTTTTTCGTTTTTGTTTTTTTCCGATACCAAGAATCGAACTCACGACTTAGTGCTTGCCAGTCAGGTACTGTGCTGCTGAGCTAAGTCCCCAAGCCCATAGCTCGTCACTGATAAAGCAGCCATCTGTGCGTTATTCCTGTCAAGCTCTCTTCCTCCCGTGCCCACTCATGTTTTCCTGTGCTTCTGCCTGTCCCAGCTCCTGAGAGCTGGCTCCATAAACCCACCAGGATGGCCCTGTTCTGGCAGGGTTTAGGGTGAAGTCACATCCTGAGCTGTGCTTTGGGCCACTTTTCTGATGCCACACCCTCCTCAGCCCCCCCACCTCCTAGCACACCTGGCTTCCAGTGATCAAAGCTGAGGTCACATCTCCTTCCTGTGTCTGTCCACCTCTGGGCTCCCCCATGCCACTCCCCTCTTGCAGTACACACATCCTCTTCTGAGGAAAGCTGCCCTGGCCCGTGCTCTGACAGTGTGCTGGTCTATTGTCAGATCTTCATTCCGTTTCTGTCCAGGGGTGACGGGTCCCCAGAACGAGGTGCCCGCGGATGAAAAGAAAAGTAAGAGAGACAAGAAAAACAAGAGAGGCAAAAGTCTAGGATCAGGGGGCAGGGTGGATATCAAACGTTTTTCCAAGGGTAATGAAAGGATTATCCTTCTCCGCATGTAATCCAACACATGCCTGTAGTCCCAGCATTCAAGAGGCTGAGACAGGAGGATCGTAAACTCAAGGCTAATCCGGGCTGTATAATGAAGCCTTACCTTAAGAAATTCTAACAAAAAAATAAATAAATCACTGTGTCCTCAATGCATTCTAATCAAAGAATGTCCTTCTCCACAGTCTAATCCTGGATGTTCTGATTCCTGCGGTTGAGATGGGGCATGTGAATTTGTGTTGTGTTTCTAATGGCGCTGGTGCAAGGCCCACTGTGAGAACCATTGCCTTAGCAGGTACCATTCAAGGGACACATGTCTGACCCAGGCCAGCTGAGGTGGGTCGCCAAGCAAGCAGCCAGTCAGACTGCCCACCCCACCCCACCCCCCGCCACCTTGGAGCATAAGATGGAAACACCAGGTGCTGAGCCAGCCGTGGGGAGCCAAGTTGAGAGATCATAGAGTTAGCGGTTGAGGAAGCCATTTTAAAAGCATAGTAAGGCCTTCCAATTACATAAACGGAAGAAATAAGTCTGTAGAAAGAGACTGATGGGGAAAAGCTGAGGTGACAGGCTTCCTCACCCTCAAGGACGCAGAGTGACTGCCAGTTCCCTGCCAGTGCTCCTGGCCTGGTGCACTCCGATACCTCAGCTCTGAGGGAGCCTGCTGCTGAGGAGCCTCCCGGCCTCCCGGGAAGGAAGCGGGAGTGAGCCCCGGCTCCTTACCTTTACCTCGATTGCCTTGGGGCCCTTTGTTCCTCAGGCCTGCCCTGCTCTTTGACTGTCCGTGTTGCTCCTGCCCATCTCCTTCCCTGGAACGGATCCTCCTGCTCACAGGCAGCAGTTCTAGAATAGAGTCTCCAGCCATCTGGTACACGTGGCTATTGTGCACTTGAAATACAGTGCACTTGCAGTGTTGCTGCGAGTGTAAAATATGTCAGAGCCCAGCATGGTAGCGCATGTCTGTAATCCCAGCTACGCATAAGGCAGTGGCAGGAGGAACTCAAGTTCAAGGCCAGTCTGGGCACCTCTTTGATTTTGGTTTTGGTTTTGGGTTTTGCTTTGTTTTTGTCTTTTTGGGACAGGGTCTTGCTCTGCAGTTCAGGCTGGCCTTGAGCTCACTTTGTAGCCCAGGTTGGTCTCAAACTTGCAAGGATCCCCCTGCCTCAGCCTCCCAAGTGCTGGGATTACAGGCGTGCGCCATCACGCCTGGCTTGGGCAATTTATTGAGATCCTGCATCGAAGTTTAAAAATAAAGTGCGGAGGGTGTCATTTAGCACTCCCTTTGTTCAATCCCTAGTTATGCCAGAAGGAAAAAGAAGGAATTTTGAAGAGTTAGCATAGAAAACAAAGCAAAATAGCTTATTAATATTTTCACTTTGGTGACATATTGGTATATTTTTGGTATATTGGATTAAATAAAAGATAAGATTTGGGTTAATTTCACCATTTGTACTTTTTTAACATAGCTACTAACACATTAAAATTACAAAAGTGACTTGCGTTCTATGTCTACTAGAGGTGATCTTGAGGTGACGGCCAGTCACCCCCAGACCTCCCCGGTGTTCTTCCCGAGGTTCCCCAGTGGGTCTCCACACTCTGTCCAGCATCGAACTGTGCCTGTTCCATCCTAGACCTTACCTTCCAGCTCTCCCCCACACCTAGCTGGTTTTGCTTAAGTTAACCAGCATGTTCTGTACCTAGGTATTAAAACTAGACAAAACCTATGCTGAAGCCCTAACCTTTGGGTGCCTATAAATGTGACCTTATCTGGAAATAGGGGCTTTTTAGATGTGATCAAGATAAAACCACTAGAATGGGTCCTAATTTTAATTTTTTTTTTTTTTTTTTTTTTTTTGTACCAGGAATCTAGTTCAGGATGTTGCGCTTGCCAGGCAGGTGCTTGTGCCGCTGAGCTATATCGCTGGCCCCTAATTTTAATTTTGAGACAAGGTCTCCCACAGTTCTCCAGGCATGACTTGAATTTGAAATCCTCCTGCTTCAGCCTCCTAGAGTGCCAAATTATAAGCCTGCACCACAACACCCAGCTGAATGGTACATTTTTAAGAAGAGAAAAATGCTATAGAGCTGGGCATGGTGGCACATGCCTATAATCCCAGCACTCAGGAGGCTGAGGCAGGAGGATTACTGTGAAGTCAAGGCCAGCCAGCCTAGGCTACATAGTGCATTTAAAGCCAGATTGAACTACATAGCAACACCATGTCTCAAAAAAAAAAAAAAAAAAAAAAAAACAGAAAAAGAAAATTCCTTTGGACAGAAACACACAGAAAGAATGTCATATGATGGTAGGGACTGAGGTAGCAGAAGGCCAAAGAACACCAAAGATTGCCGGTCAACACAAAATTCTACCCAGAGATTCAGACATAGCGTTTAGCATTCAGAACTGTGGGAGAAGAAATTTCTGTCATTTTAAGCCACCCAGTTTGAGGTAACTGATCTTGGGAGTCCTGGGAAACGAATCCAAGCTCTAGTTCCGCTCCATGCCTTATCCTATATAAAACAGGTGATAAGGTACGTTATGCAGCTGATTTTCATTTTTTGCTGCATTTACAATATGTTGCCTTTTAACGAACAGAAAGCCGTGTAGCTCCAGGTCATTTTTTATGTACCGCTTTGAAACGTCTTAAGTATATACAAACTGGCCTGTGACACGGAGAATTCGGAGTTAAAAGAGAATGTAATTTGAAGAGATTGCATATTTTCCAAAGCCAATTTGGTGATTTAAGCATGAAAGTATTACAATTAAATGTTTGAAAAGTTATCTGTGCATGTTTTGCTGTAAGCTGATAGCATGAAACAACACATCTTTTCAGGATGAGGTAGCAGCCCCGGCCCCCGGGGGAAGGGAGCGGGGTATCGCTCCACTGCAACTGCCTCGGACGACTGGACAACACGAGCAGGCTCAGAAGAAAGTCATCTCCAATCATCTTCAAAATACAAACTGTAGTAGCTACAACACGATTCTCTAAGGGCGGGATGGGAGGAGATGTGGAAATATTTGTACGATGCTGTCTTTATGGGTAGTGCGGAGAATATGGGCCAGAATGAGATCAACGTGACTCCTAAGCCCATGGGTCAATGTCGAGCCATTGTTTAAAATCCTCAAGGGCTGCTCATGGCCTTCAGGATCCGGTCCAAACTGCTTTGTGTGGCATTCCTGGCATTACCAGGCCTCTGCCTGTCTCTTCAGCCTCATTGCCTCCTTCTCCCCTGCTCTGCCTGTGCCAAGGACCCAAGGCTCTTATTTTCCAGGTTCCCACACTTGATTTCATCTCTCATCTGCAGAGAAGGCTTTTTTTTTTTTTTTTTCTGGTACCAGGATTCGAATTCACGACCTTGAGCTTGCCAGGCAAGCGCTGTGCTGCTGAGCTAAATCCCCAGCCCCTGAGAAGGAATTTTCTTTCCAGGCCGGTTGCCCTGTCAGAACAGGAGAGCATCTCTCATGAGTCTTTTACCTAATGCAATGGACTACTTGATTGATTAATAAATTATATATTTTTTTCTTTTTTTTTTTTTTGTACTGGGAATTGAACTCAGGACCTTGCGCTTGTGCCACTGAGCTATATCCCCGGCCCAAATAAATTCTATTTTAGTGTGAATGTGTCTGTTAATGTATTACTTGCAACGTGTCACTTTGGTTAATGGTAGATCATTGTATGGGAGACTTACTAGAGATTATCTACCGTGCTGATCTCTGTCTGGCTGAAGAGAGATATGCTATTTTCTGACATCTTAAAAGACAAGCACCTGTTGCCCTTGGTGTGCCTATTTCAGATGATTAACAATAAAGTTAACTATTGAAATACAGCTTCTTTGGTGTTAAGGTCTTAAGGTAGCACCTCTAAAGTGTCAGACCAAAGCTTCAGACCTTGAGCTAGGCTGGGACTCCGGTGGAGCCTCCGGCAAGAGAGGCCTAGTCCAATAAGACCGCGGGCGTGGAGGAGCTAAAGAGACGGCAAGTACTGTCTGAGCCGCTGGACTCCGAGGAAGCTGAGGTCCAGGGTGAGCAGGCGGCCCACCTTTCCGAGAGCTGCGTGAAGTAAAAAGTAGGTAGAAAGGAGTATCACATTCACTTACACCCTTCCACATGTCAGGAAACACCAAGAGCTGAATCACAAGCTACATTTCCCTGCTATTCATTAAGAGCAGACTCCGTACATTTCAAGATCATTAGCAAGCAACATCGTTTGGTATTTATCAAGTGATGATGACAGAGGAAAATGATTAAATGTACCCATTTCCTGGGAAAGCTGATACCGTAACTGTGGAGGTATTTATGGAACAACAAGAGTCTTTTACTGATACAGATACATGAAGGCGCTAGAAGTTGCCAGACACAATGGCTCATTATGCAGTCATTATAACGGCTTGTGCTTGCAGTCCCAGCTGTGTCGTGGCTAATGGAGGAGGATTGCTTGAACCCAGGAGTCTGACACCAGCCTGAGCGACATAGCGAGATCCTAGCTCCCAGTGCGGTGGGAGGGGGAGCTTGAATAGAATTTTTCAATAATTATTTTTGTTATTAGACCATCATGGGCCATTTTTATAACTCAGCTCCTTTTTTATAACTTGTTATTGTGGGTTTAAAACCTTACCCACGGAATTGATTTTAACCTTACTGGAAAGGAATTTACAAATAAATATGAAAACACAAGTTATACCCTATAATTCCATTCCTAGGAAACTGTCCTAAGGAAACAATCAGAGGTATGCAGAAAGACATATGCAGTTATTCATCCCGATACTATTTATAAGAATAACAAATTGAAAGCAATTTAAATGTACAAAAGGAGGTTGGTTTAAATATAATTGATATAGTCATATGATAAACTATTATGCAACCATGGAAAATTGTGTTCCCAAGACTTTTTTTTAATCAGATGTTTTTATATTTAAAAAACATGAAAAGTACCCTCCTGCCCCTAGCCCCAGAGGAAAAAAACCATCATGAATTTGGCATGCATACTTTCTGTAAAATTTCATACTTCATTTATTTAGTGACAAAGAGAAATGTTTATAATATAAATATATCCATTTTTAAAAAGCAGAAAATAAAAATATGTGTGAGGAATAATCCCAATCTGAATTGTTAAGTGACTATACTTCTACATTCACCATCCAAAATGATAGTTGCTAAGAATACACCAGGTACTGAGCACTGTTCCTTAGAGTTTGTAACCTAGAAGAGGACAGAGAGCCAAAAAGGATATAGTAGTAAACTCTATTATCTGTACTTTTTTTATGTACTCAGCAAAGGGTCAGCGAATTGTCCATTGTTTCCTAGACTGACTTTCAGTGCTGATGTTATCAGTTGCAGCGATTCTCCAGTTGTATTGAAAATGTTGAAACAAAGATTTTATCTCCTTGTACCAGGCAGAGTGCTGCACGCCTGTAACCCCAGCACTGAGGAGGCTGAGGCAGGAGGGTCTCTGTGAGTTTGAGGCCAGCCCGGGCTATATAGTGAGTTCAGGGCCACCCTGAACTACAGGACAAGACCTTGTCTCAAAAAAAACCACAATAAATAAATAAATAAATAAAATGAAACCCTATCACACACACACACATACACATACACACGCACAAAAAAATATATAAATATCTCCATACTAGACACAGCTCGGAAGGACAGACACTGCTGGGACATGTTGTGGCCCTCAGTGGCCAACACTGTCTGAGATGGAAGTCAGCACAGAGGAAGAGGAAGCATGAGATAGACAAAGTGAAATCTTATTTTATTAGCCCACGCGGCCCTGCATCCAGCCATTCCTAAAACCACCACCTGGTTTGGATGAGGTTTTCAGCCATGTGCCTGCAAGAGAATCCTAACTCCTCCATCTCACGAAGCAAAATCTATCTGGTGAAAGCTGCAGTCTGCATTGTTAAGTAGTCTCATGTGAGTCTTCCTGAGGGGAAGCACTGGCTCCCAAACAAGCAAGGCTGACAATTTTTTTCCGCGAAGGGCCAGATAATAAATATTTTAGGCTTTGAGGGGTCATAGGATTTCCATAGCAACTACTCGACTTCAGTGTTTTAGTGCAAAAGCAGCCGTAGATGAATGGGCGTAGCTGGGTTCTAATAAAGCTTTATTTACAAAAGAAGGCAGTGGGTTCAGTTTGCCTCCCTGAGCATAGTGTCAAGACCTGCTCCAGACCCAGAGTCATAAGTAAAAAGAGGAATGCCAAATCTGGGAAGGATTCTGTAAATCATTTTTTCCCAAGATCTGTGAAATCTGAAACTATTTAATAGTTGAAAGAGCCGGGCATGATGGCGCACGCTTATAATCCCAGCACTCGGGAGGCTGAGGCAGGAGGATCGTTGTGAGTTTGAGACCAGCCTGGGCTACAAAGTGAGCTCAAGGCCAGCCTGAACTGCATAGCGAGACCCTGTCTCAAACAAACAAACAAAATAGTTGAAAGAAAGACTCAAATACAGTTATAATGTTAATTGAAGAGTTACTATGTGCTAAATGTAGTGCTAAGGGAGATGTCATTTAAGATGCTTAGGCCAGCAAGGAACGGAAAACCCTGTCTCGGACTTACACAGTGTCATTGCATGTAACAAGTGGTTTTCTGTGTGTTTATTTTTTATTGTTTCCAGTCCTGGGCATTGAACTCAGGGCCTTTCCTATCAGCTACATCCCAGGCTTTTTGTTTTGTTTTGTTCTTTTTTAGATAGAGCCTCCCTAAGTTTATAAATGGCCCAGGCAGGGCTTGAATTTTCAGCCTCCTGCCTCGGCCTCCCAGAGTTGAGATTGTAGCCATGTGCCCCACCTCTCCCAGTTTAACAAGCAGTTTTGTTTTGTTTTGTTTTTTTTAACAGGAATCGAACTCAGGACCTTGTGCTTGCCAGGCAGGTGCTGTGCTGCTGAGCTATATCCTTGGCCCTAACAAGTAGTTCTGAAATAGGACTGACTCCATGATTGGAGTTTCAGTGGTTTAGTGATTTATTTAAGGACCCAAGTTCCTTCCATGTCAGGATTCTGCTTTCTGCAGGGCTCTCTCCTCAGCCACAAGATGGCAGCTACCGTTCTAAGCTTCACATCCAAATTAACCTTCAGAATAGACACAGCAGTTCTTCCCAGAAGTGAAGACACGTTCAGCAGCAGCACTTCCACATCTGCATGTTTCCTTCCTCAGAAGGTGATTATGTGCTCCCTCTTAAACTGTGCATTAGAACAGCGGTTGGAATTTCTGAGGTCAGTTGAGATCACTCAGGAGCCACCCCCGATCTTGGCTATGCAGGGGATGCCTGACTGAAATCAGGGGTCTGTGAGTAAGGGAGTATCGGGGTCGGGAATGGAGATTTAGATAAATAATCACAAACTTCCATGATTTACAGATGAGAGTATACAATTCAGACAGGGGAAAGTGACTTACCAAGGCCACAATGCTGGAGAGAGACTGGATTCAGGCCTAGCTGTGTGGCTACGGTGTCCAAGACCTCAAACCCTACTCTGAGGGCTTTGGTAGGAAAGCTGAGAACATCAGGGATAACGAGATAGCTCCACAGTGTACCTGGACATCAAGCACAATCGCACCAGGCAGGAAACCTGTCAGGTGACCAGGCCTCCTTAGCAGGCTGGACCACTTCGCTTTTGCTGTGCAACAAACAACCTCATAATTCCCTGAGTAAAAACCCCAACCGTTCACGGACCTCACAACTATGTGGGTCAGCAATCTGGTCTGGGCTTCTGATCTCAGCTGGACTCCGTCGCGCCTGTCCGGCCAGCTGGCAGTCAGTTGAGGACCTGAGGTGACCTGAGCTGGAGCGCCTCGCCTGGGCTCCGCACGCGCCCTCATCCTCCCGCAGGTGAGCCGTTCACACGGCGGCTGGGAAGATGGAAGGAGAGAGCAGACGCACATGAGGCCTCTTGAGGCCTAGCTAGGACCTAGGAGAATGGCTTTTCTGAAGAGGCCCTGAGCCAAGAAAGAAAGGAGGAAAAGAAGAAAGGAAGGAGGGGAGGAGGGAGGGAAGAGAAAGAACAAAAGAAAAATTTTCTTTTTTTCCTGCCACAGAAAGGCTGAGGTTCTAACCCTCCCGTGCAGCATTAGAAGTGCCACTCCCACGGCTGCAGTTCAGGAGGTATTCAAAAGAGCAGCCTATTTCATGGCCAACATCACCGAGGATTCCCAAGGACAAGGGCTCTTAGCCAAAGCTGACAGAGGAAGCCAAGAAGTAGGACATGGATTCGGTACAAAAAGTTAGAAAAACAGCACCGTGGTCCATGGATTGAGGCTGGGGTAAGACCACATGAAGACGGCATCTGAAAAACAAATATTTCAACCCGAAGACAAAATTCCACCTTATTTGTGTCCCGCCTGAAAACATAGTCCACACGACAACCAACCAGAACCATGTTTTCTGTTATCTTGGCAAAATAAATATGTTATATATCCATTCAACAAATGTTAATGGCGCCAAACCCCATAAACTTGGACAGAATTCTTTCTTAACTATCAAGTAGCA